GTAACTTGTGACTTGAGATGTCAGAAACAACACTGAGATTAAATAGCAATACACAAAGATTTTTTTTTTAACACCTTTTCTGCTCTCCTTTCCTCTTTCTGATTATGATGTGCAGTAACCAAAGGAACAAGGATTAAAGAAGAACATAATTTAAATGCATATTTTAAATGGACCAGCTGGGAATAATACAGTTGTAGCGAAGTACATGCAAAACTATTTCCAAACATCTAACTCAGAAGTCTTGGATTTTTTTAATTACATCATGGGGTTGTGAGAAAGGCCAAGAAGAGCTGATGCAGAACTGCTTTTTTTGGGACAACCTAGGCACAGCTCTGCCACCTGCCTGAGAAAAACTGGCTGAGCACAGGGCAGTCCTGCCAGGCTGGGTCTTCAGCAGCTTACTTCCTGTGCCTTCCCTCAGAAAGGGGTGAGACAGCAATTGAAGATGGGAGAGTATTCATGCACAGAAGTTTTTTCACTGGCAATTGTTCTAAGACCACTCAGTATTTATGCTCCAGAAGTTAGCATTGGCAGCCCACAGATGCAGGGGTTTTAACTCTTCCTTCTCATCACACATTGTACATAGAGCAGCTCTAGTACAAGATATTGCCTTATTTTGTGTTCTGTTTTAAAGTGGCATCATGAAGAGAAGTGAATTGATGCACTACCACTCAACGAAAGATACAGTCTAGCAATTACAAAAAAAAAGCACAGGACCAACATCAGTTCAGGGTGGCACACTTGTGGACTCAGAGTGCTAAGAAGAGGATAACTCTAACAGTTCTGGTAAAACCAGTAGCTTCTCCTTTCCTTGTCAGAGAACAGGAGTCCAAATGCACATTTTACTGTTCTGTGAAACAAGTCTCATGCTTGTCAGCCATTTTCCTTGTGCTCTTGCTCCCGCTGCTCTCTTGACAGATGGCAAACCAGGACCAAGCACAGTAATGGGGCGCAGCCTCACCAGTGACGGGGCAAATGGTTTGCAGGTTGTTATCACTGCGCCGTGCAGCATGATCTACAGGAGTTTGCCTCATGCAACACACAACCAATCCCTGTCTGATCAGAGCGATGCAGGAGCCTGGGGTCCACATCAAAATCATGTGGTCCAAACCTGACGACCGGGAGAAATTTGTGTTCAGAATCATTATCCATGTCCCAAAAGCATGAGAGTCAAAAAAAAGAGATAAGAGTGGAGCTGATACAATTAATTTACATTTTTCTGAATGTAATATACAATAGAACTCAGGGCAGTTTACTGACAGAAGCACTTTCTTTTCGAGTGACAGCCTTAAGGTTTTTTTCCCAAAGTATATTTATGAATGCAAGTTAAATGCACAATTTCACATAGACTAAGACATAAATTAATTAATTCAAATGTTATCTTTTCTAACTTTATTTTGTGCCTATGAATCCTTTTTTGAAGACTACAAGAATTACTAACATTTAGGTTGGAAAGAATTTTAGCTTGGAAAAATGCATTTACAAGCAAATACTTTCTGAAATTTTACGACACGACTATCTGTTCATGCCTAGACAGAGAAGCAAAAGCAAATGAAACATGGAACGAATCAGCAGGGTTTTAAGTCATGTGGTTCTGAATATCTAAATCTAGACAGTTTTCAGTATTAATTACTCCTTGCAGTTTTGCTTTTCACTATATTTTTTTTCAGTGCAGCTTTTTAGGGTTAACTCCATTTTTATTTTAGTTCTTAATAATGATGTCAGAAGCCATCCCATTGCCCTCATTCACACAACTTTGTGCTGGCTCATATTCCTAAGGGTAACGCGATATGGTCATATTGTGTTTCCTCAGTAACTTCCTCTGAAAGTGCATATTATTCCTTTCACTTGACTAATACAAATAATCCTCACTAATGACATTTAATAAGACACACAAGTATGCCCTAGAGTGTATCAAACTCACTGCTTAAAAAATATAATTCTTTAACAATCCTATTTTTCAAGTGAAGAGGTAAATTGCACATTTTATGAGCAAGTATAAATATCTCAGAGCTAAGATTAAATTAAGGAAAAAAAAAGTGATAACAGGTTTCTAAATTTTAAACAGGGGCCCAAATAAGTGTCCTGTTAAAATATCCTTCTACTCAGATTGCTATAAAGGAATCTTTAATTTTAGATGTCCAGCTCATGAGCATGGATAAGAATAGTCCTTGTCTGTGTATTTATTGTGTGAACTATAGGTAAAATTGTTATGACTTCAGTGTGTATGTTTACATTGCTGCAGCTCCTAAAACAAGCTAGTTACAGTCCAGGACTCCCACTTTGCTAAGCGTTCTATAAACATCCAGCACAGCATATATAAACGCTGCAGAGCTTATTATCCGAACATAACACATGAGGTGAGAGGGAGTTGGGCTGGTGGAGTAGAGCTGGGAAACAGGCAGCACTGTTCAACATGATATGAAGGAGTCATAGCACATCAGGAGCCTCCCTTTGCCAGTTTTGGAGGGTTTGTTTTTCTTGCGCTTTTTTCTAGGCATCAAAGCAAAGGAGTTTTAATGAGGGTCTGAAGGAGAATAATGAGGTACTTTTGCAGATGTCTGCAGGGTGTTCCTCCTCACTCAAAGGGGCAACATGTACAAAGACACTTTGAAAAACAAGTGAGCAATGGAGGCTGGCATCTTAGTTCTTTTGAAATAAAAAGCCCTGATGCTGACCTCATTTACACTGGTGAAAGCTGTAACTCCTGTGAAGTCAATGAAGTCCCTGTAGCATAAAATTGGTCCTGGATTACAGTCTGTCAGAACAGTCTATCAGAAGCCTTGGCAACCACTGAAACCATATTCCAAAAATACCTTCAGCTCATTTTTGCATTTACTGCAAGGAGTCTCTTTACATCCATCTACCACTAAAGAGGGCCTTGAAACAGTTAACTATTTGCCAAAAATGTGTAACAGATCTTAACATAAACAAGAATATGACCACTTTGGCTTTAATGTCACAAATATACATACATATATGTGTATATATGAGCAAATATGCACATATACATTTATATATACATATATACGTATATACACAGATATACATATACTCCTCTGCAGGCTGATATGGAAGGAGAAAACTTTGCACTCTGATTAGAGACAAGGTAATTTCATGTTAACTAATAGATATCTCATTTCTCATTTTTAAAAAAAATTCTGACTTGCATATAACGCATTTAGCCTATACATGTAAAAAAGGATGCCCTAGAAGAAATGCTTCTACAGCTTGTGCTAGCATTAAGCATGTCACAGGAGACTTCAGGGACTTAAACTTTTAGGAGTCATTTGACCTTAGAAGTCAAATTGTACCTAAATATGTAGGTCAATCCTGAAAGATCCTGGAAGCTCAGGACTCACATAAGTTAAGACTCTCCATGTCCATCATCTCCTCTCTGTGGGCTACCTGAACTCAGACTGAAGTCACACTGCCTGCATATGCTGTGGTATTTGATATCATGGCCCTTCTGCAGGGAATCTCAGGCTATCTTATTTACCCAGAATGGGTCGTGTGACATTTCTTGAAGGACACAGATGATGTGCAGAGCGAGGCACAAATGTCAGGATCTAACCACATGGCAGGTAAAGGCTTCCTTTCCTCTGCTCTGATGTACTGGGATGTTCCCTCATGGAAGCACCATTATGGTGATTCCAGAGCTTGCCCAAGTGGCACTTATCAGGATAGCTTTGTGGGCTGGCTATGAATCTGGCCTCAGGTTAGCCCCAGAGCTGCTCTTACACCACAGTGTTAATGCAGGCACTAAGCCATATTGCACACCTCTCCTCACAGGGCTGATGTGTGGCATTAGGAATGGCAGAGGCTCTCAGCACCCTCAGTCTGGGTTTTGGGAAGGCTGTTTCTGCACAGGGGAAGCCCTGGCTGTCTCCCTTCTCCTTACGCTGCCACCACTGCTGCAGTTTTGTTCCCACTTCTCCACCAGCTCAGTCCAGTAGAATAGCACCAGGGAAATCAAACAGCACTGCCTTACTTGGAAAGAGTATAGGAACTAAAACCTGAACATGGATGCAGTTCTAGGATCTAAGTATTGCAAAGGCCACTGCAGGGAACATAAAGATTCAGTTCTGCAGAACTCCAACTGATCTGTAGCAAATTTAGTGAGCAAAAAATTGAGACTAAAGTTTTGCAGAGGCAACATTGTTTTGCTTACAGAAAGAAATTAAAAACAGAGTAAGAAGCCAAAAGTTATTATTCCTGAGTGTTTCTGTTTATGTCTGGTTAAGTTATAAGAAGTTAATCACTGCCACTTTATAATTAACATAATACTTGCCTACATTTAATTAGAATAATATAAATGAGAGAAATCCTATATATTTTTTCTTTAATAGATTACCAATTCTGCCTTATCAATCATTATTCATTTCACCATTCATGAAATAGAAATATCAACCAGTGGCAGGAAAAAGGAATTATTACCATAATATACAACTTCCAGAATAGCCCAACCACTTGCAGAAGTTTGTATCAGCTATTCTAATTACATGATCTTTCCCTAAGTTACCAGCTTCCTGAACCACCAGTGTAATTTCTGTTTCAATAATTGCATATACAAAATGAACCATGAAATAAATCATGTGAAAAACCTGTTAAACTTTTGTTGTCTTACTAAGGAAGTGCATGTAAAGTGTTTTAACTGTACAGCTACCTCAGTCTGGAGCAAAGCTCTCACTTATGTCAGCTCAATTTATACCCTACAGAGACCAAAATCAGTACACTCCATGATTTCTAGTCTATCACTCTACTTTTTGATTGAGAGGCATGCATGCCATATATTAAAAGTATGAACCAATCTGTCTGCAGAAAACTTCTCGCTGATATACACAAGAGTTTTACCAAAAAAAAGTCTTGGTCTAATTTATCATTAGAAAAAAAAAGACAGAAGAAACCAGCATGGGCAGTCTTAGCTCCAGCAAGCACACTTAGAAAGTTAGAATTAGTCAGCTCTATTTGAATTAACAAAACTTAAGGCATAACCTCACCTGCTTTGTGTCGTCTTTAGGCAGCCTTTAAGTTGTCTATCAGTAATCTCTTTGTGTGGTTTATTATCCACCTTGGACACAGTTTCTTTCTTGTGACAAATCAGTGTGTAATTTTTATCGTTGTTGTTTGCCCAGAAGGTACCAACCGATGTCTCGTAGCGTATACAGAACTCCACCTTAGCTCCATCTTTCTGGTAGGGAGGCACCAAAGAAATCTTAAAGCAGAACTGATCAGTTTCACTGCCACAAGAATTAGGCATGAACTCTGCAAGGATATCATAATAACTGAGCCAGTTATTCAGTGTCATTCGAACATACACCAGTTTTTCAAAGGATACATTGAGGACTCGTATAATGCCGTTCATACAGGTAATCCCAGGCAGGAACACGACTGACTCCAACAGTACTTTCTGCTCCCTCACTTTCTGCAAAAGTTCTTCTTGTGAAGCAGGCAACATAAACTGTTGAGAGAAAAAATATTCCTCCTGAGGGAAAACTTCATCTTCTATGCTGTCATTTAGACTTGTGTTTGGAACTTCCCAGGTATCAAACTCTTTAACAGACACGAGATCAAACCCAAATGCATCAGCAAATGAAACTTTTCTTGAGATGGTGGTGGGGGTATCTGCCTCCTCCTCTGAAGAAGAAGCAGAATTCCGCCTTCGGGGAAGTGGAGAGAAACGATGTTTAATATCAGGTTTAACATCTTCATCCTCTGAAGAGAAATCATTTATTGTGGGGACTTCTAAGAAGTTAGCCCTGCTAACCTGACTAGGTCCTTCAAAAGACTCCATTGGGCTCTCTGATATAAACTGAAAGAGAACTGTACAACTAGTAGCAGCTGATATTTGAGACACTGTGATTTAAAACAAGGATTAATGTTACAGTTGACATTGCAAAAAGGAGTCAGGCCTATTAATAGATGCTGTGGTGTATGAGCTATGTTGGCCTGTTCACCATCTGAGAGTATTAGGTGTTACAATTTCAATGAAACATTTAAAATTTTGCATTCCCTATTTTTAAGTGGCTTTAAGTGTCAAGAAGTAAAGTAGTATTTAACTTTGCATTATTAAATTGCACATATGGAACTACTTTTAGATTACCAACTTATGTTGCACAACAGATTTATCATATTACATAAACAAATCTCTAATTCGGATGTATACATCATCAGGTAAATAGTTTCTGTATTGTAAACCATTCCTACATAACTTTTTAAGGCCATGTTTTTATTGTATTTTCAGACATAAAAGGGCAATGTCACATTCTACCTGGCTTCCTACCAAGTTAAGTCAGTGGGCCATATCGTAGGACTGTTAGCTTTTTCAAGCTATGGACTAGCCATCATAATTTAAATGAACCAGGAATGCTACGAAACCTTAAAGTGAGTACACTGGAGATGAACGTGCAATGCTCCATTGTAAATATGACTGAATTCACCACTAATTAGATTATGAAATCATCTAGTGCTTGACTGCATTTATCATCATCCAGCCAAATGGAGAGAAAAGCAACTCACAGAATTAACTTGTGCAGCCAGCTGTGAAACACAAACCCTGTTGCCACACAGCTATAAGCAAGAGGAAGAAACACAGTGCACTGCTTAAAGGGTTGTCAGCCTCTGTGCAGGACATCGTCCCATGACATGAAATAAAACTATGGCTTCTCAATTGTCCTCAGTAATCAGTTAGCATTTGGCTTTTACTTTTATGGCATCCCCTGCATGGAAAGATGCAGTCTTTACGGTACAAAGAATATGAACTCAAATGTCAGAATTTCCCTTCATATTATTTAACCTCTCCTATTTCCCCCTATCTATGTCAAATGGTAAGCCTAGATTATAATGTAATGGCACAGTGTGAGCTAATAAATATAACAAGCCATATCAGAGACTGACAGCATTAGTGGCCTCATCAAAGATCTCAGCACAGGCTAGAAACCTAGTTCTTCACTCACATTTTCAAATGGCTCAGGTCTTGCAGGCCATTTTGAGTCCTTCCCATAACCACCACTTCTGCCTGCTCCCACTTACTGCTCTGCACATAACTGCAAAGATGATTTGCCACATGCATGTTTTGGCTTTCTACTGTGTGAATTAGGTACAGTTTGGAAAATGAGGCTTCTTGCTCTAGGGGCAACTCAATTTCTTCTGTCAACACGTAATCTAAGAAAATATTACTGTAGTAATTATGCAAACAAGGAGAACTTTTGACACTGTTACCCTAATGGTTACACCTGTTTCTGTGAAGAGCCATTTCCCCTTTCTCATTCTGCATGTTTCTTTAGAAAAGGCTGCATAGACAAATATAAATGGGAAGGTAACTTCCCCAATGGACTCTGGTGGATCACAGAGATAAGAGGTGCAAGCAGGAGGAGGGCTGCCCACCAAATGTGCTCAGGGAGAAGAAAAGCATACCTCAGACAAAGACGTGATTTGAGAATGAGTGCATTTCTAGTTGAACATCAAAGAAGCATTGCTGCTAGACTGTAGGAAAACAGATTAAAGTTTGATTAAAGAGGGGTTTGATCCATTTATTTGCTGTTGTTGTCATTGTTGCTGTTGTTGAAACCAAAACCAAACAGTGATTTGTCTTGGCCCAGTTGAGCACTAGTTCAGTTAAGGATACCCTTTCCATTGGCTTCAGCGAGTAGTAGGATAGACATTCTGCCTAAGCCATCAAACAAATCACTTCATGCGATGCCAAGGGCTGTTTAGGAAGGAAGGGTGGGCAGCAGGATTTCTGAAAACAAAGATGTATTCAAACACATTTTTTTCTTTTTTTGAATTGAGTAATATTAGCAAAATTAATTAACTCAGATTATTCTGTGCACCTGTGTAACTGTCTTTTCATTCATTGAGTTAAAATCCTTTACTTCTGGGTGTAAGGAAACATTGGTACTGAGAACCAATAGGTTATTTAATAGTTTAGTCTACGAGGTACCACTGAGAAACATTATCTAGTGAGAAAAGCAGCATCTATTTAGTAAGGTCAGTTAAAATAGGAAATAGAAAAATGTTGTAGAAGAAATAAATAATATAAAATAGGGAAAAGATTCTGACTTCATACAGGAAAGAAATGTTAGTGTTTATAAAGGTGGAGACCAACAAGCATAGCTGAGAACAGAGGAAGGCCACACTCTTCCAGAAAGCAATTTCCAATCCACAATCTTCACCTATTTCAGTGCAGAGGGGTAGAGGTTTATCTCTGTTCTTCACCTGAGTTAGGTCCTACCTGGACAATTTGTACTGGGTCAAACTTTTCATGACGGTGTAAATATTTTATCAAAAGCGTATATAGATTCACACCAAAGCAAGCATTGTTATACATACAAGAACTGCATTAACTGTTTCTATGTGTGAAAATATTTTAATGAAAAATAATATTGTTTTTTCTTTGCATCTTGCAAAATGGTGCCCAAAATACCTAGGAGCAGACAACAGACGATTTTCTTTCAGCCTGTAACAGCAACGGGTAATTTTAGAACATTTTAATGGAATAACTTCTCTAATTACTTCTTCTCTAAAATGTCATCTTCAATACAAATGTTGAGTTAAGACAAATGGTTTCCAGGTGTCCTTAAACACTAAGTAATGGGGGAGAAAACAGGTAGAACTGAGGAAGAATGTGTAGAGAATAAGACAGCTCTGTATGGGGTAGCTTCTCTGTTGAACAGCATAGTAAGAACATCACAGAGTTAGCAGGCTTGGGACTTAATTAAAACACACAGCAAAGCAACAAACCCAATAACCAAACAGACCTTTAATTAAAATATACTTGCACCTGCCTATGTTTTTGGCATATCTATTATTAGCACAGGCCAGCTGATCTTTCTTGGTCTTAACTGGAAGGATAGAGAATACACCTTTCTGTGTTAACTGAGAAACAATTATGTCTTAAGCACGGACTAAAGATGAGCAGTATAAAATCTGGTTCCACTTGGCTTCCTAACAGTGTATTCCCTAGTGTCCTAGAAAACTACACTTCTTCAGCAGAGACTGTGAGATGTATTACTTTGCTGCTATTAAATAAACCTATTAGGATAAGGCATAAAAACATTCTCTCCTTGCAGAGAACACTATTCTAGCTGACTGTTGAATGGTCAAAAGTGCTGAACAAGAGGTAGAAGAAAGATTTTAAAGGTTATATTCTTCAGAAAAAAAACATTGCTGCATACTGTGGGACATATTTTGAAAAAATTCATTCTCAAAGCATGTAGAGCTAGGGAAAAAAGCACAGCATTTCACTTAAGCAAGAGTTTCTCTCTAAATTCAACATGATTGAAGTTAAATATCAGTAATAAAGGCTGAGTGAGGACAAAGGCTGCCCTCAATTGTTTTCTGCTCTATAGCTTGTATGCACTGTCAGAATTTTTTAATGAAACTTTGTCCAATGACTGCAACTGGTCTTTGTGACCCAGAGTAAAATCCAGCTCATTGTTTAAAATTTGTTCTGTTTTCATAATGCTAAGTAGAAAAAAATAAAAATAAAAATGCAGTTCTTAAATATATATATGTATATAAATAACATATAAAGCCAGAATGTTCTATGCTATGGTGTTTTGTGAGAAATCACAGATTTCTAACCATCCAATGTTTTAGTACCACTGTAGAGACTGCAGTAACAAAAATGGGGATATTTGTAGAAAAATCTGCTTCCCCGGGTTGGAAAAAGTCTATATAGTAAAAGTAGACAGTAAGCTTTCCCTGACTCAGATTCTTTTTTTTCAGATGAAACCAGACATTGAGCTAGTGAAGGTAGTTCTCCCTCTAACGTGAAATCTTTGCAGACATTTCAGGCAGTGACAAGAAATTTCCCACAAAGAGTAAGGATAAACCAGGAATTTGCCTTATAGTTTTTAGAAGTAACCTTGACTTGGGGAAAGAGAGAGATTTTCACCCTTTCATCTTTAAAGATAGGACTCAGAAGAAAATAAAAGTCACTTCTAGAAATAATGTGGAGAAGTATGGGATTAGTATTTTCCTTGAGGTCATATCTGGGAAAAAACACAATCTTTATCTTGGAGATCAGAGATTTCAGCCCTTCCAAATATATCTCTTCTTGCTCACACTTTTATCTTTAATTCCCTGTAGAATCTCCCTTCACGTATTGAAAGGCTCGTTCATCGGTTCAAGTATGAAGCCCTTTCTTACACATTGTTTTCTTTCTGCTTAGGGTTTGAGTTCAAGTTTCACGTTGTCAACTTTTGGGCATTTAGTACTGTCCTGGGTTCAGCAGTAGCAGTCATTTTTCTCCTTCTTGGTAGCTGGTGCAGTGCTGTGTTTTGACTTTTGGCTCGGGAAGAGAGCTGATAACAAGGATGTTTTGGTTTGGCCAAGGACTTTGTGAGCCTCATGCTCTGCCAGGGAGGAGGGGAAGCCAGGAGGAAGCAGAGGCAGGACACCTGACCCAAACTGACCAAAGAGGTATTCCATACCACAGCACGTCATGCCCAGGATGTAACTGGGAGTTAGCTGGAAGGACTGGGAGACTGCAGGGTTGGAGGAGGTATCGGTCAGTGCTTGGTCGGGCTGGTGGGGGGGGGAGTTATCGGTCAGCTGGTGGCGAGAAGTTGTATTCTCTTCCCTTGTTATTTCCTTTATCATTATTATTATTGGTGGTAGCAGTAGTGATTTGTGTTATACCTTAGTTACTAAACTGTTCTTATCTCAACCTGTGGGAGTTGCATTCTTTTAGATTCTCCTCTCTGTCCCTCCAGGAGTAGGGGGAGGGCAAGAAGGGGGGGAAGTGAGCGAACAAGCTGTCTGGCTGGGTTTAAACCACGACAAGTCCATTTAAATTTCTAAACTCTTCAGTCTGGTT